TCAAGACGGGGTCGGTCTGATGGATGGACACCACATCCAGAAAGCAAATGTCCGACCTGCCCAGGAAACGCCGAAGCAACGAAGGTGGCGACGGAAATGGCACGTAGGCGGCAAGTGGAGCCAAGAATGTCCAGGTGGATGAGAGGGATCTTTGGGTTTGGAATGCACATGTCCAAGGAGAACATCCTAGAAAGGCCTACAAGCAAACTCCCCCTGCAGGCCATCCTTTCTGCAGCACACCTTCAAGCCCGCCAGGCCAAGCAGAAGCTGGTCCAACCACAACCCCATCCTTCCAACCACAACCAGGGACCTGAGGCTTGGCAGGTAAGCGTAGAGGCCCAGCGCCAGCCAGGAGAAGAAGCCGAAGATCGTCACCCACGGCGGGGAGAGGTCCTGCCAGTGACCGGCGACCCAGAGGAGGTGCGACCCTCAAAAGGCAGAGTCAGGCGGCTTCTACCTAAACACGTGTATGATCTATCTATCTATATATCTGTCTGTCTGTCTGTCTGTCTGTCTGTCTGTCTCTCTGTCTGTCTGTCTGTCTGTCTGTCTATCTATCAATCTATCTATATATCTTAAAAATCTGTGTATATGGTCTATTTTATGTGTATATGTATATATACATACCGGAGGACAATCTTCAAGCAACTCCGACCGTTCTGTTTCACATCGACCCCCCATTTGGAGACATGGACCTCCCAGGTGGATATGACACTGGCTACCTCGAAAACGACTTACCTCTGCAACAGGGCGTGGGTCCACTTCCCATCAGCGTCGTGTCCACTTCCTCACCCTTGAGCCACCACGAGAAGGCCCGCACCACCAAGCTCTGGCCAGTTCACAGAGGGATGGGCTTATTTGGAGTGGACCTCATGCCGTCACCTGCTTCTGACACCGGAGAGTGGTTTCATTCAACATCCGCAAGCAACCAGACCAGCCACCAAGTCACCCAGCACTCAATGCTAAGGTGTTCCAAACTCCACGACTCCATCCGCATCCTTCTGCCCCGCCCCCCTCCGAAACCCTCCCGCAGCTGCCCCACCACATCCAACAAACCACACAAAAACCGTGGTGGGGAACCATCGCGCCGCGTGGTCCGTGTCGACGCTCCTCCCAGTTGAGCTCTTCAAACTTCGCAAAGGCCACGACCGGGGCGTCCGCCAGCTTCTTCGGTACGACCGGCAGCACCTGACCCAAAGCCGAAGAATTGAAGCCTAGGCATGTAGAGAAGTTGGAGTATGATGAGTACAAAATCACTCTTGCCTCCATCCCATGAAGAGCTGCAACCAGCAGGGTCTGAAAGCCACAGTCGTGTGGCCGGAAGAAATTCCACACAGACCCCAAATAAACCAACTTCTCACGTTCACAAAAGCCATTTGGCTCCCTGGTCTGTTTTGACCCAACCCTAGAAAAAGAGTGCCCAGGATGCTTGGAGTTCTTGGTGTGGAAAGGACCCTTGGAGAACCGGGAGGCCTCCGGCCCATCGGCCTCATAGGCGCAAAGGAGCATGGCCAAGGCCGCGGACAGAGACCAAAAGAGCAGTGCATAGGGCCAAACGCTGTGCACCAGCAAAGCGATGGCCTGGCCGAATCGTTTCGCCAGCGGTTTTTCGAACGGCTGGTGGGGCGCCAGCCTGAGCGAATCCAGGCGTGGAAAGGGTTGGGTCTCGGATGGTCTCCTAAATCGGACAGACACAGAATCAGCACATGTTTTGATGGATTCATGTCCAAGTCTTGAACGGGAAACGGCCCACATAAAGAAGCAACACCCCATCTGGTCGTCAGCTCCAAAGCTGTTACGGCTCGGGGGAGGTACCCTGCTTGGTTTTCCGGCGAAAGGTTTGTTTGTGCAGCGGCTATTCTTCAGCTATTTTGGTCAAAGCACTCTGACAGCCTCTCAGCTCCCAGCTCACCTTCCAAATGCCAGGCGTCTGCCAGGTATGCGACAAGAAAATGTCGAAGCCTTCCACCTGCCTGGCAGTGACTCGGCGTGACGGTGCCTGCAAGACCCAATGAAAAAAATAAGTCACCGGTCACCTCACCTGGGGTACCTCATGGGATAGTCTATTCAAACTCTGTTGGCTTTTACGATGCTTTTACCACGTTAAAGAGAAAGCAACATCAACCCCATCGGCGATGCTTTTAGACCTCAAAAGAGTATCTACCACCTTCCAGGGCGGAACAGTAGCCTCCATGTGAGCCTCCAAACCCCCAGGAATTCAGACCATATCTAAAGTAGAGACAGAAAGAGAGAGAGAGAGCGGGAGAGAGAGAGAGAGAGGAAAAAAAAGAAGTCAAAATATCTACATACAAATGTCTACACAGAACCCCGGCCTCCCACGCTCCCAGAGCCCCATGCGCCGACCGTCCGGCAGGTCCACAGGGCTCTGGCGGAAGAGGGCGCCGCCGTGCCACAGGGCACGCTGCAGGGAGATGCCACGCAGGAGCTCGGTGTCCACCTGCCGAGCAGAAACACCCCACCCACCCCGTCGGGGACGCGGACGGAGGCGTGGACGGCGGTCCACAGCGTGGACGGCACCGGTGGACACGGCGGTCCCTCCTTCGATCTGATGCAGGACGAGGACCTGTGCCTTTTGGGAAGCGCAGGTGTGAAGGAGTGGCAGAGGGGCGTTGGTACCTGGATGGTGCAAGGTGTGGCTTTTTTTAGAGAGCGGGTGTGCTTGGGAGAGTCACACACTAGCTCAACTTGGGAGACCACACACTAGCTCAAAACCTTTAGAAAACGCGGTTCTGTTTTTCTTAGGGCGTCAGTTCTTGGCTGAACTGTTTCTCATCTCGCGCAGCTCACTTCTTGGGCCTTCCTGGAACAGTCTCGTACTCGTACTCGGTCTCCCAGTCCAACCCCAACGTGCGACCACCGGAACGACCGTCCACCGGAACGACGACCGTCCAGCGGCACGCCTGAAAGTTGCCGATCCTCTGTACAATCCTTGGATCACGTGAGAGGATGGGAGGACCACCGGGATGGCCACCGGATGGCCAGGCGACTCTGGAGCCCTCTGGAGCCTGAAAACTGGGAAAGACCACGATCATCGGGCCACCTGGAGGTGATTCAGTGGGTTGGGGCCAAACATTCACCGGAAAGACCGCCTCATTTCTCAAAATTCCCATGTGGAGTGGAATTGTCCAATGGTACAACTGGTTGCCCCTCTTTTTCAGATTTGCCAACACCAGCCGTTTGCCACGTCTGTATATAAACCCTTTTCACAATACTTTGCGAATCCCACTGGGCAAAAAGTACAGGACTGCCTTCCGTTCTTTGTATCTTTGGACCTCTCCCAGAAACTGGATGAAACTAGTGGATGGACAGCAGTGCCCAGGACCAACTGTCCAGAACGTGGATCCATCAACTAAAAACCCCATCAACAGACTGCTTGGCCGCGCAGACTGCCCAGCGGCGAGGCTTTGCTGGGATGTCGAGACGGGCTTGGGCTGTCGCTGGCGCCTGAAATCCCGGGCTCGTCGCAAAGGCGAACACGTGGCTTCAGGACCTTTGAGGGTTGCTACCCGACCCACCCAGGAGCCCTGCCTGAGATTGACAAAAATCATCAGAGATTCGACGGATGAGAACCTACTGTTGCCACCGTGAGAATGAAAAGGATGTTCCTAGCCTGGGCAGATTTCTGGACTTGTTGGTTTTTCTGAGGCTAAACGCCCGCGAAGCTAATCCCAAGAATAAAACAAAATGAACAACAAGAATGAACAGATAGAAAAAATACATAAAAATACATAAGGTACAAAACAAAGGACAATGAGGTGTTTTTTCCGCATGCATTTTTACATTAAGAAAGCCAAAAAGATATGTCTATGTCTTTGTATGATTTTGCCACATATTAATATTGGCATAATGAAAATGTTTTTGGCCAGCAGCTCACCCTTGATTTTCAGGCCTGTCAGTCTCTGCGGCTTTCCTTCATCCTAAACTCAGCTAGGTGGCCAGCAGAGGCTTCCGTCTTCTGAGCCTCAGCTTCTTCCGCTTCCTCTCGGTGGCTGCAAGCCTGTAGCACCTCTTTCGGCTCCTCCACATCTTCCTCCTTCGCAGCTGGCACCGCGGGATTGGGACAAGGAGAAGGTGGTCCCCTCCTAATCGCCCTGCAAACCGACAGATCTTCGAACTGATCATGGGCATCCCACACGTCGACTTCGGAAGGAACAACACTTCCACACGCCTGGCAGCAGCTACTGCCAGCCAGACCCATGGCGGGTGGCAGTGCCGATGTGAAAATGGCAAGAGAAGACAGATCCCAGGATCTTGAGGACGGGAAACGCAACTCTCATTGACCATTCTATCCACAGTTGGGTTCAAATGATGCGCATCATTCACTTGGTTACAGCAGTTGACTTTCTCACGTTTACTGTTTCACGGTTGATGAACGAGTGCCAAGTGGAGCTGTGCGAGCCGAAATACAGCTACAGCTCCAAAGCGCCAGACACCCCAAGGACTGAACAGGTGCCTCCTCGTGGCGACCAACCAAGGAACCTCCAAGGAACCTCTTCATGTCTTCTGGAACCTCGCCATCGGTTGAGTGTGTCCGGAAATCATCTAACATAGAAAATCACAGGTTTTATATGGCAACAGGAGGCCCAACTTTGAGATTTGCAGGATGACATATGTGATGTGTATATAACCAGATTGGAGTGGCCCTACAACTCTTCATACTCACCAGTCCTTGGATGACCTGCACCGGTCCTGCACCTGAAACTTAGCCCAGAATGCCTCGCAAGCACCCAGAAGCCCCTCCGAATGTGTGGAGTGCACCGGTGCTGCCGTGATGCTCGCCCAAAGCCCCTGCGATCAACTGCCCAGAAGATCCATCCAGAAACGGACGAAATCAACAACGCTTCCCCCAGGGTCGGTGCCCGTTTCACGCGGGCGACGAAGCGCAGCGGTACGCTGTCCTTCGTTCCCCCCAGAGCAGGACCACGGACGCGCCCGGGTCGATCTCGCTGCTTTCGCCACCGGTTCGGCAGCCGGGCCACTGGTTCGGCAGGGGCCACCTGAACCCCCGATCACGGTGGAGGCCGGGGGGAGAGTCGAGCGCACCGTTCCGACGGTTCCGGCACCGACCTTGGGGCCGGTCGAGGCGGGACAACGCGAGGGGCTGGGGCGAGAGAGCTACACTGCCTGGAACTCACATGGAAGTGAATGGCCCCCAACAGGGAGGTTTTCAATTTGATGTGAAAACCCAGGGAGGGTATGTTGTAGTAGTGGGTGAGGTGATGCAGCCTTTTTGAGCCGTTTCAACTCCTTGACCACTGGGAGGCCACTAGGAGAGGCACAAGCACAAACACAACTGCACATGACCTGGTACTGGAAAACAATCCAGTAAAACCGTACAATCCATCGGCCTGTGGCGTGAGAGCTGCACATTTGGGACACCAAAGAAGCTGCTGATTAGGCCTGCTCGGCAGTGGACGCTACCCGCTACCGCTGGCAGCATGTCTGCGTGAAGCTTTGTGACGATGTCTGCGGCTGGGCGGCTTCTCATCTGAACCACCGCAGAGGTAGTTGAAGAAGCCTTCAGGTGGGTGAGCCTGGCGGCCGCTCTCCAGCGGCAGAGGACCGCACCCTACCATAGGCCAAGGACCCACCATCACGGTCCTGACACCCTCTTCTTCCTAATAGGGTGCCCCAAAATAAGAAGAAACCTCGAAAGAGCATCACCCAGGCTCCATTTGGCCTTTTGGATGGATCCCTGTGAGCTCTTCATATGGATGACTCTTGATTAAGGAAACCTTAGCATTTGGATGGTAAAACCTCTTCAGAAAGGGTGGTTTTACAATATGTTAATCCAAAGGTCGACCTTCTTCACGTCGATGACCGAGAGAAAGAAAAGGCGGGGCTCAAAAACACGCCCTGGTGCCCCACCAAAAACACGGCCAAACCAACCACCCTGAGGGTCCACTCGTCACCTCGAAGGGCTTGGTCTGGAACTGCACCACGAGCCAATCCTCCGAAAGCATGGGCTTCGAAGCCACGCGGAAAGAGAAAACATCGGAACGCCAGTGGCTGGCAATCAGGAGGTTCATATGGGTTGTAGGCCTGCATGATGTGCACATGATATAAACCCACAAATGTATATTAAGACGGGTTTATGCATATATATATATGTGTGTGTGTATCTATCTATCTATCTATCTGATCTATCTGTTTGCATGTGTGCGGGTCTTATATTGGTTTTTGTTCTAAACGGTTATGTGTGTGTGCCCCTTGTAATCACAGGGGTCCGTTTGGATTGTACTTTTGACTCCGTTGTCATTTTTTGAGCAGAGGAGCGGTGGGCATTCTTGAAGTCACCGCTCAAC